ATGTGATGCAAAGGATGGTGACTATGAAACTAACCGGACAAGGATGGAATGCTTATTCTGTTTGTCCAAATATCAGAATACGATTGAATATGCTCCAAACTGAGCAAAGGTTTGTACATTTATCCAATTACATTAGTACTTTACAGAGATCATCGACAAAAAACTTCATCAAAAAACGATGAAAATCAACAGCCCAGGGAACACCACCACCAAATCTACAGACCAACATCACAAACTAATACCAACAACCCACACAAAATCTACTACTAATATTGACACTAAACAACATAGGCAACACACCAAAACACAAACCCAGGAGTGAAATGCTTCAACCTACACAACATTTTTTTTACTTAAACACCAAATACGTCACCACAAACGCACAAACAACACCAAAAATCCCAACACAAGACACCAGCTTCTTACGTTTGTTGTCCTTGAAGACCATCTTCACATATGCTCCTTGCAGAGAAACGAAATGATTTTTAAGATCAACAACCATATTTGAGATATCCAACTGAACAGCGCGAACGTCATCGACCTCAAGGTTCATGGCATCTAAGTGTCGATTAACTGCCTGACGGAGCTCACGCAACTGGTCTTGGAAGTCCTCCCGTATAAGAGACAGTTCCATCTGGGTTTGCAGTAGATTGATGGCCATGTCTTCGTTGGTTACACCATTCGAATGATTCTCATCCATGTGACGGCGGTAATTTGGAGACCAGCTGTGTTCTGCACGTCCGATCGAAGCCATTTTGGAGTAAACTCAGAGACGAGATTGGGGTAATGAAGTTTGCAGATGTGCCCTTTTAGGTCAAGGAAGTCTTGATTTTATATGGAGGCGCTAGAACTGTCGATCCTTGCTCCTTACGATTCGCCTTCAATACGACGTCGTTGCGGTTGTTGGACGATTTAACTTCTTGCCATGTCATCGCTTACGTGTTAGGCTAGGTTTATGTGGCAACGTTAACCGGCTACAATAGGTAAAAGGGACTATATTGTTAGGTAACAAATAATTCGATCCCTTATTAAGTCACAAAATAAGTTAAGTGGCTAAATGGGTCAACCCTAGAAACATTATAGGGCCTATACGTCATTTTCCCTTTTTTAAAAGAATATTTTTAAATGTGTTTTTATGAACGGTTTGAAGGTGCAAAGGGAAAAAACCAAAAATTACTAAAAGTCACATATCTTTTAACTTTTTTTTTAAGTTAATCTAAAAACTACAACTTTTTAGGGGTGTTTGGGATTGCTTTTAAACATCAAAAGTCCTTTTTGTAGAAGGACTTTTTGTAAAAGAAACTCTTTAAAAAGTATTTGGATTAGCAAAAAGACTTTTAGCTTAATTTTTACATGTAAAATCACAAAAAGTCATAAAAAGTCAGATTTTTATGACTTTTTGAAACCCCTCGTCTTATTCTTTGCAAAAAATCATTTTAAAAAAACTTTTCTATTATCGAAACATATTTTTGCTTTTTGAAAAAAATTAAAAGTATCCTTCTAAAAGCAATGCCAACACACCCTTAAACTTTTTGACTTTTAAAAAGTCAAAATAAAAAAAAAATCGTTTGATAAGGAACTTAAATAAACTGTTCGAGGGTATAAAATGGTTCTTGTCTACTTATGTTGTAAACCCTCACACAGCCGCCAAGAAGCCAAGAAGTGAGACAGGGAAAGAAACGTTGATTAAAAGCTGGTGGCTCGGTCCAACATTCCGACTGCGTTCATGGTGGTCCGACGGTGAGCAGCATCAGATCCGGTGGTTCACGGTGGTCTGACGGCTACAAGCAACATATACGGTTCTCCAACGACGCTCACTCTTGTCCGCCGACGGTATTGATGTCAGTGGTTATTGGCGGTAGGTCTCTCTCACGATCTGTCTCTCTCTCGATCTCTGGTTTGGGCCGGCGCCTGTGATAGTAGTGGTTAATAACGGCGGTAAGTCGTCCATGGATCTTTTATCATTAGATTAATTATTTAATATATTAAGTTAAAAGATTATTAAGTTAATGTTACCAGATTTTCATTTTATATAAGAGTAAAATCTGTTGGATTATAGTTGTATTAAGTCTTCAATATAGCAAAGTCTTCCAAACATTTCAAAGCTCTCATGAAATTCAAATTCACATTACTAACTCTTGTTAAAAGAAACATTTTCTATGTATTTGCTTGCAATCTGAAAAAAAAACATTTATAAAATAAATAAAATAAAATCTTGTACCAAAGAGTATAGGGGTAGTTTCAGAAAATCATTCCTAATTTATGCGTTTTTATATTGTGTTTATTGTATTTTTTACTAGGTTATTGCGTTTCGTGAAACGTTCATAATGCATTGGACAAAGTTATTTCATTTGAGGACTCATGCAAAAAATTCTTGCGGGGAAGAAGGGGAAATGGTTGAAACTGCTTGCGGAGACACTAATGATCTGGTAGGTCAAGTAGGGAAACTTGAGCGTGTAATAGGAAGAGACGAAGAGGTTAGGGAAGTGATTAGCATTTTATCTGGAAAAACCAAGAATAACCCTCTTCTGATTGGAGAACCTGGTGTGGTTAAATTGGATGTTGTCAAAGGATTAGCTCAGATGATTTTCAGAGGTGATGTCCCGATAAATCTTCATAATGTACAAGTAAGATGGCTGGATATTGTGTACACGAAGGACAAACTGAAAGGTGTGTTGAAAGAGGTGCGAGAGGCCCAAGGGAAAGTCATATTGTTCATTGATAACATCCACCTTGCTCTTGGCGCTGAAGCTGAATGGTCAATGGATGCAGCAGATCTCCTTCAACATATGATTGCCACGGGCCAGTTATGGTGCATTGGTGGCACGACTTTAGAGGGTTACAAGAAATTATGTCTTGAAAAAGATGCTGCTGTTAACAAGTATTTCCATCAGGTGTTTGTTACTGAACTTAGCATTCCGGACACCATGAGTATTCTCTTCAGGCTTAAAGAGAGATATGATGGTGTTCGAATTCTTGATCGTGCTTTGGTTGTAGCCGTGCAACTTTCGAGCCGATACATAACTGGTATATTATTAATGGATATATCTTTCTTGTTGTTGATGCTAATTTAAGTGTGTATGTATATACTAAAATTAATCATTCATTTTCAGCAGGATGTCTGCCTAATAAGGCAATCAATCTGGTTGATGAAGCTTGTGTGAATATGAAAGCACAACTTGATGAAATACATAATCTCAAAAGAAAGTTAACTAAGTTAGAGATTGATTTTCAATCTTTGAAAAAGGAGAACGACAAAGCAACCGTAGCTTGCCTTGTTGAGGTACTCTAATTTTTTGGCTTTAATTATTTGAAGGTAAGAAAAGAGCTAATAATTAATGTCTTGTTGGCTTTTGCAGGTAAGGAAAAAGCTTGGTGATTTGAAGGATAAAGTTGTGTACAAGAAGAAGAAAGACACAAGAGACGAGATCCGTAGGCTAGAAGCAGAAAGAAATAATTTAGCAAGGGCTATTGATTTGAAACTTGCATTTATAAAAGGCGATGAAAACGTAACAACAGTAGGACCTTATGAGATTGCTGAGGTGGTCAGTCGATGTACCGGCATACCTGTGACCAAACTCCTCAGAACCAATGATGATAAAGAGAGGGTGTGTGGGCTAGCGAACAGGCTGCATCAAAGAGTGGTGGGACAAGACCAAGCCATAAACGATGTGGCTGAGGCAGTGCTCAGGTCTAGAGCTGGATTTGGAAGGCTTGAGCAACCAATTGCTTCAATCCTTTTCCTAGGACCCGATTGTGTTGCTAAAACCGAGCTTGCCAAGGCTCTTGCAGAAGAGTTGTTCTACGACCAAAAGTTTCTCATTACGATTTATATGTCTGGGTAGCTTTTGAATTCAGAGCTTTTTGTTGAAATCAAAAATCTTTTAAAAGCTAGTTGCACAACATATGCATATGCTGTTGGTATTAAATGTCTTGTTTCCATTAATATTTCAGATATTCCGGAGATGCAATAGACCTGGCGGAAGTCATTAAGCGAAATGATTATGGTATTGTGTTATTTGATGGAGTAGAGACAGCTCATGAAGCTATGTTCAATACTCTGTTTCGAATGTTGGATGACAGATGGTTGAGCGACCCCCCCGACACCGTGCTCATTCTCAACTGCAACTTTGGAACCCAGTTTTCTGCTTCCAAGGTATATAATTAATTATAAGCCTCTCTCTCTCGAG